CTGGTATTAATTCAGTTTCCAGAACATCAATACCAGTTATTATTTGAATTCAGTCCTCACTGCTTCTAAAGAATCTCTTTATCAGCAAGTTTCTACCACCACTGATAATTTTATTTCTTATTCATATTTCCCCTAATTATTAAAAAATAGATTTCAATAATTGTATAGCGCTACTATGTTGAGCTATTCTTTTTTTTTTTTATTTCCCTAGCTAGGGCATGCAGCTTCAATTATTTCCACATTACTGACTGTAAGGAGTACTTTTTGTACTGCATGAATTATTGCTAATAAAAAGCAAAAGCATACTGAAGTCATACTCCTAACTATGTGAAGGAAGCCTTTATTTGCTTCATTCGTATTGTTCTGATGAGACATTGTATCTGACACTAACTTCTGTACACTTGGGAACGATCATTTCTCATATTAAAGTACATGTGAAAGTACTCTAGTACTTAATTAGAGAAAAAACCTCTAGTCTGTCCACTAAAAGGTCTTTGTTGCTTTCAGTCTAGTTTCATAAATCTTACATGTTGTAATGCAGATGGTCCTAGAGTTTTAAGCATATCTTGCAGTTTGGCAGCAGCAGGGGGAGTAGTGTAGCTTTATTTGGGGGCTCTCCTTGACCAGTGCTACAGTTAGTTGATGATTAGCCCGGGACAATGCTGTTCAGGCTCAAAAATCAGCTCCTGTTGGGAAACCCTCCACTTATATCTCTGTAGGTGAGCTAGAAACATTATTCTGCAAGCTTTGCCTTGCTGCACTTCTGTAAAGCCCAAGTCCCACAGATGTAGAAGTGCACTTGCTATGAGTAAATTATGATCAGGTTTTCCTCAGGTGTTTTGTGTCCTGGTGCAGGAACGGGTCAGGCCAGTCAGACTCCCAGTCACGCGGCTGGAAGGGATCTTTGGGACAGGAGCTGGTTCAGCTCCCTCAGAGCTGGTTCTACCCCAAATGCACGCCAGGGCTTTGGCCAGTTCAGTCTTGAAAACTTGCAAAGATGGAGATTTCTGCACCTTTATGAGTAACCTATCCTAATGCTTCATTATCTGCATAATGAAATATTTTTCTTTATGCTGTCCCATGCTAATGTATTGTAGGTCTCTTCCAGCTGAAATACTCCATGCCATGCCATGCCATGCCGTGCCATTCCTGTTGTCCCTTGCTCCCCTGCCATGCTTCTCTGTAGAGAGTCTGGCTCATCTCACATTTTATAATGTGCTTTGACACCTCATTTTATTGCCTACATATTCTATTGTAAAACTGGGTGGTTTCCCACTGTTTTATTTATTTAATAGTTTTCTTACATCTCTGGTTGAATCTTTGGTCAGTGGCACACACCAAATAAAATATCATCAAATGTTCTTAATTTTTGTAAGACCATTGCATTGTTGGTTCATGCTCTGTTTGTTATCCCCTATAACGTGTATTTCCTATAAGGAACTGCCTTCTATATTACAAATATACAGACCTTCCCTGAAACAGTAGTGTCAGATCCTTGTACGTGTATCATTGTGTTGCAGCAAACACCTTAGACTTTTTTCTTGGTAAGGGGTCAGTGTAGACAGCAAATTTGAAAATGCAATCAAGTACAGGGTGGTGAGCAAATAGCACAGTAATCTGTGTGTGCGCTCATAATGTCTTAAGCAGAAACTGATTTTAAAATTTAATTACTGTGCAATCTAGTATCACGTTGGTTGATTTTTTTTTTGCATCTTTGTATTTCTGTTGTTTTTACTTGCAATTTAATTTAAGCTTGTGCTGCACATAATATGTCACTATGCTTCCACATGAATTTAATATAAAAATAGTATTTTCCATGTATCTGCCTAGCTTTTCTCTAGTGAAAATGTGTTAGGATATTGTGTTGCTGCCATGTAACTATGGCTAAGTTACTTTTTTTTGGCATTTGTTGAATTAATCTCTTGCATACTTATTAAAAATGTTATTTAGGTAAGTTACTGACATAGTAAAATAAACGTATTAAAAGTATATTCTTATGTACATATGTGTGTGTAGGAAGAAGACCAAGATCAAGATGCCACAGATGGAAAGAAATTTATTGACTGGGCATTTCTTTCTCTTTCCCAAATTGCTGATTTGTCAGAACAAGATGAAGAAGGAGTTCAAAAGTAAGTGGCAACGATGATACTGCTAGAACCAATACAATAATGAAATAAAAATTATGGACCGTTAGACCATTTGTTAGATTTCTTTTGTGGCAGTTACACATTAGTCTTTAACAGTTCAGTTAAATTTTTAATATTTAATATAATTCATGAGAGGTAGGAAGAAAATACTGTTGATCTTAGATCCACTTTGTTTTACTGTGTTTCCTGTATCTCTTGATTTTTCTTTGGCTCCTTTATTTTTCCACTGATATGATTTCTCAGTTGACAATAATATTAAATACACTGTAAATGAAGTACTAAGATGTAAATAAGGACAGGCCAATACAGAGCTTTTTTTATAAGTCTCTCTTCGTAACTTTTTTGCTAAAACACTTAAGATTCTATACTGTAACCTGAGTTACTGAAAAATAAGAAAGGTTTTAAAAGTTCAAAAAGGGATGGAAAGCTTAAGAAGGTATTAGTAGGTAGCCATTATGGTGCACTGGGGAAATAAGAGGCAGCCAAAGACTTCTGATTAAGCCCATCTTGTCTTTTCTGTAGCAACACTCTCCCTTGTTATTAGTGCTTAATAGCAACTAAATTTAGGAGGGAAGGAGTTCAACCTGAGACTCTAGACTTACTTTTTATGGATGGGATTTTTCAGAAGTGCCTGAATTGTTTAGGAAGATTACCAAATTCTTAGTGAATAGAAAGCCAAAGGACTGCTCCACTGCTCTACTTGGGGGAGTAGAGGAAGGGGCAGGAAATAATAAAATCCAACCTTGTCCCTCTGAATAGATAAACCATTTAATAAAGATTAAAATGTTATTCCTGGAATATATTCTGTTCCTTCTATTTGTCACTGTTCTGAGGGGGAAAAAAAAGTCCTTTCTGGGATATTTTTTTAAGAAAACTGGAGAGAAAATATGTTCCGATCTAATAATAATAAAATCTTTCATTTACTGTTTTTTTCTAGTAAAATAGGCCTCTTATTTTAGAAGCTGAAGCATACAGCTCACTGGAGCCTACGATATGCTTAATGATGCAATTTATTGTAAAACTTTCTCACTAAGATTAAAAAGAAAAGCACTGAAAGACTGTACGTTTCTTCTTCATCTCGACTGATCACATATGTATTTTATATATATATATATATATACACACACATACTGTACAAGTGGAACATAAAGTATATACTGCATCTGACTGAAAGGAGGATAGTTACAGGGTATTTTATGCACTCTAAGCAGTTTAGCAGCAGTGTTGAAATTTTGTTAGTTTACCACAGTACATCATGTCTATACACAAGAGCCACAGCTAAAGTTAGAAAATCAGAATAGATCTAATTCAGTATGAGAATTTTGGTGTCCTGTGTTCCCATCATGGAGCTTTATACGGCTGTCCATCTCCTTAGGACTTGAACACCTTCTGTGAAGGAAGAAGTAGCAGCCAGGGTAACTAGGAAATGTAAAAACCCCGTCATTTTCCAGTAATTTCTAGGTAGTGTTGTCAGTGGCATGCCTCACAGAATATTGAGAAGAATGAGTACTGGCATTGTTAGCAGCATCAGAGAAAATCTAAATCCCTGAGAAGCTCTGATTATGAAAACACAGAGTTGGCAGAAGCTTCAGAAAGAGAGGATATGGACTCTTTCAAACCTTGGAAAGTTCAGCTGGCCGCGTTCCACTTCTATTTCAGTGCACTGTTAAGTGTTTTTAACTGACTTGCATGCGTACAGCCGTACAAATTTGTCATGCAGAACAAAGGAGTGCATGTTTTAAACAAAACTGATTGGATTATATGCTTTACTTTGTTAGTTATTGAGGCTTTAATTAAAAAAAGAAATCTTATTTGACAGTGTATCTCTGCTGGCTTGGTGAAAACCCTGAAAAACTAATGGTTGCCTATCTGAGATTAATGCCCTTCTTAGGAAGAATGAGAAGTGAGGGTGGAGGGGAAGACTTTGCTTTTTTACAGTGGACTAGAAACTGTGATCACAACTGGCACCTGTATCACCAGGTACAGCAAAGAAAACAAGGACTCCGTTGATGTAAAACTGAACTACCTGAGACACAGCTGAAGTTATGCTGGAAGAAATGCAAACTGAAGTCCTAGTCCTGCTCCCCTCTCTTCATGTAGAAAAATGTGCACAACTATTACAAAAGACATAACTAATTCTGTGTTTGGATAGAGCAGACATAAAAGTGTCAGCAACAGTGTGGTCTCCTACAAGGGAGTGCATTTTTTCATTACTTTTTCGAGTTAAAGTAAGTGGAAAAATTTCCACAGCATGCCAGTAAAATAGGATGAAAAAAAAATGTCTTGACCGTTATGAAAGTGAATTTAAACTTCTAAATATTTTAGGTACTTTCAGTAATTTTATATTATATTATATACATTTATTTTCAAATGTAATTTTTCTTCAAAGGCTACATGAAAAATAACCTTGAAAGGGAAGCAAGGTCTTTTTATACTGTCAAACTATCTCAATCAGAGTGAAAGAGTAGTAGGAGAAGGTGAAGACTGATTGTTCCATTTAATCCTGCAAAGCCCTTCCTGAACAAACACTGTTTTTTTCTCTGGGATTTTCAGTGTATTTCTCTTTGGGTTCTGTAATACTCTTAAAATTGTTATTTCATTAATCATATCTTAATATTTAACTAGTGTCTGTTGAAACCTGTATGTGTTTGTTTCCTTTTTGCAGTTGATACATCCTCTGATCATAAATGTTCATATCTAGAAAAGTTCAAGGAAGAGATATACATACATGTGTAATAGAATAATAGTAAATATTATAAATATGATTGCAAGCAGACTAACAAACTTTAGAGTCTGTAATATATTTTTAAATTTCATTCTTTTACTCTGCATTTTTTTTCTAGAAAGCTGGAAGAATTTCTTAATTTTAAACAATTAAAGAGGTCTTTGAAAGAAGCTGTTTTGCTAGATTATTATACTGCAGGATTTTGTTGGGCTAAAGAAATGAACTTCAGTCTTATACAGCTCTCAGGATTCATGGATCTATTAAATTTCCTGTTGGAGAATCTCAGTGGTAAGTATAATTAAAAATTGTAAAATAAATATCAGAAGTGGAAGGCAAGAATGTTTTCCAGTCATTTTAATAAAGTGATATTTAATTACAAGTAATTGTAAAATGATTTATTTTCTTCTCGAATGTTGGCACGTTATATACTGTGCCTGAAAATAATTCTGATTGACAGACGTTAAAGTTTGGTTAGTGAAGATTGTAGTCTTTTTAGCAGAATATCCCTCATTCTTTCTTTGTACAGTATGTGGTGCAGAGGGGCCAGGGCCTGAAAAGATCTTGTCTTTGCTATGGTAAAATAAATAATAATTACAGTAGAGTGAGAGAGTAGAGTGAGAGCTCCTAAATTCCAGCTCCAGCTGTCTGTGACTGACTCGCTACTGTAGCCTTGGGCACATTTCTCTGCTGTTTGTGATACTCAGTACATCCTGTAGCATTACAGCAGGTGAATTACATTTATTTTATCCTTGGAGGTCAGCTCTCAGGCAGCTTTCTGTATGGCAAATGCAGCACTTCTGGCACAAAATATATCAGTTAACTGAGGGCTTGTGAGGGAAGTAAGCTGGCATCACTGCCGGAGATGAAAAATGACAATGAAAGGACTGTAGCTCCTGTGGTTAAGAGGAAATTTGCAACAAAGTATGTAGGCTTGGTCTAGTGGGAACAAAATAGCCAGAAAAAATGGTAGCACCATCCTCTAAAACCCCTTTTTCAGAGATCACAATGCTTACTTAACATTCACTTTGAAGGTGATTATGTTGAGAAAAGTCCATCCCAGAGGAAGAGCAAAAGGACTCAGCAGTTCCATTCAAAGAGAAAATGAATATTTAAAATCAAGCGCATAAGAGTTATTATACTCTTTCATTGTAATTTAATTCAAGGGCCTTTCTGACTTGGAATTTTGACAGAACATGTACGTGCTTTATGATCATTGGAATTCCAGTTGTCCTTCCTGTCTCCAGTGAGAAAGTATCTTAACATATGCTAACTGTATAAATATAACAATGGAGAAGAATGGAAACATGTCAGAAATTAGTTTTATGAGACTCTATGTAATGCATGTGTACTAGACAGGCTGGTAGCACAAGCGATTGTTAAAGCTGACTGACATCTTTCAGGAATGTGATCTTAGTTGCATAAAGCTTTGCCAAACTTTAATTCTTTAAGCTGATATTTTCCATGGCAGTGTCTGCCTCTGATTAATTTTTAGATATAAAATTACAACTAAAACAGGTCAATGGGCTTGCAGACAGAGGCTTTGGAAAAAAGATGTATTATTTTTTTGTCTTTTTTTTTTTTTTAAAACAGCTGTATACCCCTATGCTTTGAAGTAAAGACATAGAGTTTGGCAAGCAAGTGTTGTGAATTTGCTTTTTTGCTGTCTTGTGAAAATCTATTTGGATTTGCCTAAGATACATGGCATTTAGGGAAAAAAATGCAGTTTTCTGCATTTCTGCAAAAGGCTTACAGGAGAGTGTTGGTTGGTTTTTTTTGTTTGTTGTTTTTTTTTCTTTCCCACAACTTAGTTCCCTGAATAATCCATCTTATAAAGTATGCCTAGGGCTGAGATGAATTTCCTTGTAATTACTGTTCTCAGCTGGTGCAAGTTCCAAGACCAAACATTTCAACTAAGAGCAAAATGCTAATGTCTTCTGTATTAATGACCATTTCCTTTTCCTTCCC